CTGTGTATTAAATGTGACTACAATCTCCCGTATTCTTTACATGTCTGGGCTGTGGGATAGGGTGGAAAGACGGAAGCCTTTTCTTGCAAATAATATCCAGGCCTGGTTAAATTCTCCCAAGAGCATGTGGAAAAAATTGTTATGGTCTGATGAAACCTAGGTTGAACTTCATACATTCATTTTCAATTCGGCTTAGTCTTTAGGCTTTATTAATCTGGGGTCGCCATAGCGGAATGATCCGTTAACTTATCCAGCATATGTTTTATGCAGCTGATGCCCTGCCAGCGCAACCCAAGACTGGGAAACATCTGTACACACTCATTCACAAACACTATGGATAATTTAGCTTACCCAATTCACCTTAACCACATGTCTTTGGACCATACCTGTCAACATTAAGATTTGAAAATAAGGGATATGCCCACCACAATAAGGGATCTCTCCCCCCCCCCCTTAAAAATCCCCAAAATACTAAATATGTTCATTTGCAGCTTTTTTATTGTAAATAAACAGTTAAATGGTCAGAAATATGTTTTACATGTATTATTATCAAAATAAAAATAAATATATACATTAGCAGCAAATACATTAGCAAACAGTTCAGCTTATTAAAATGAATTGCTATTATAATCAAAAAAGAATCAAGCTATCAATCTTATTTGCCATTTCTCCAATGTATAACTTACACATTTTGATTAAAGAGCAACGAATGAATCTCTCATTTATTAAGATTTTTTATTACATTAAATAAGAGGTGTCACTTTAAAAATGCACACATCTAACGTTACAATGAAAGCATTCGACTGCTTTTCAAAAATTTTATGCTCATTTAAGACAAAATTACTTGTGTTTGGGAAAAAAAAAAAAACACCAAGATCGACATTTTTATACGTTATTATTATTATTAATTAGGTGTGTATGTCTGTTTAAATACGCACCCAAAAGCCAGACTTTCTCTCCACTTCAAATCGCGTGTACAGAATCTGTTTGGGAAACAGCATCTGTTTATCACTATGGATCGCGTCAGCTGACCGTTATGCACCATTATATGACTGTTTTGATGATCGTATAGGATGGGCGACTGCACCTGTAATCAAAAGGAAATGGAATCGCAACGTTTTTAATATTTATTTATAAGTGCTTTTATTCCTAAACAAAGCGAAAGCACAGAGGACTCACATTTTAGAGCAAGGGGTGGCCCCTGGTGGTTGGGCTTTATGGGTTGCGTATAGCGAGAATCGGCTGTAAAGAGAAAAACTGAAAATCCAGGAGAAATACGGGAAAATACCTTTACGGGATGATAGCATGATAGAACAGTAAAATACGGGAGAATCCCGGGAAAAACGGGAAGGTTGACAGGTATGCTTTGGAATTGTGGGGAAAACTGGAGCACCTGGAGGAAACCCACACAAACACAGGGAGAACATGCAAACTCCTCACAAAAATGCCAACTGACCCAGCCGAAGCTGGAACCAGCGACCTTCTTGCTGTGAGGCAATCGTCCCACCCACTGCACCACCGTCAGGGGTAAACTTTTTGGTCATCATTTCAAAAAGTATGTTTTGTGCTAAAACAACACTGCACATCACCAAAGAAACGCCATACCCACAATAAAGCATGGTGTTTGCAGCATCATGATTTAGGGTTGCTTTTCTTTAGCTGAAGCCGGGGCCTTAGTCAAGGTGGAGGGAATTATGAACAGTGATAAATACCAGTCAATACTAGAAAACAAACAAACATTCAAGCCTCTCCTAGGAAGGTAAAGATGAAGAGGAACTTCATCCTTCAGCATGATATCAATACACAGCACACATACAAATCAGAAAAAGAACGGCTTCACCAATAGAAAATTCAAGTTTTGGAATGGCACAGCCAGAGCTCAGGCCTGAATCCTATTGAAAATCTGTGGGGTGATCTGAAGAGGGCTGTGCACAGGAGATGTCCTCACAGTCTGACAGATTTTGAGCATTTTGGAGTGAGCAAGAGGAGTGGGCAAATATTGTCAAGATGTGCCATGCTGATAAACTCATACCCTAAAAGGTGCTTCAATAAAGCCCAATCCCAATTCCCCATTCTACCCCTTAGTCCTTCCACTTCACCCTACCCCTCGTTTTGTGCGTTTCCGTCAAGAGGTAGGGGTTTACCAATTCTCTTTAGCTTGAAGGCCTAGGACTAAGGGAAAGGGGTGAATAGCCCAAAGATTTTTCAGGACCACACTCGAAACCAAGAGGCAAGAAAATTTTCCAGAATACACCAGCCACATCGGCAGGATCGCTGCACCCGGAAGTAAGAAGATGCACAAATTAGTATTTTTTGTCAATATTATAAATTTTTCAAAACGAATAAGCATATGTTTTAATATATTCATAACTTCATGCTTTAAAAAAAATGCTAAAATAAAAACATGCTAAATTTCGATATCTATAAAACCCTAATAATAACTCCTGTTCAGCAGTCCCACAACATTCTGACACTCGATCACACTCGAATACCCTGTCAGATAAGTCTAGTGGCTGGGGATGAGCTTTTTACAGTGTCTGCTATAAAGTTAATGTTGTTTTTGGTGTGTTTACAATGATGAATTTGGCCACTGTGTATAGCTACGGTCTTATTGCCACATTATATCATTATAGTAACATAATATATGCCATTAGTGATCTCCTGAAGATAAATACCAAAAAAATAACACACCTGGAATAACTACAGCTGTCGCAATCGTCTGATCTCATATGAAGCATGAGATCGCGATGACATATGACGACGTGTGCAGGTCTTGTAGTGCTATCCCATTTGTTAGGGGTAAAGTTTGTAGCCCTTCGCCTTCACACTCGTTTTTAATGGCCAAGGAGAAGAGGTAGGGGTACGAAACTAGAATTAAGATTAGGCCAAAGTTTTAGTTTAAAGGTGTGCACACTCATGTAAACACATTATTTTGGTTTTATTTTTAGATCCTCATACCAAAAAGATTTGAGTTTTTTTTTATGAAATTGTAGGTTGTACTGTACATTACATTACAGCTGGGAAAAGTTCTAAATTTATTGATTGTAGTTCATTTTACAACACAGAAACCTTGCATTTTAACAGAGGTGTGTAGACTTTGTATTTCCACAGTATTGGTTTTTCATTGTTCAGCCACAATTTGTTGATGTGCTCCAGCAAAAGTGATGTTGAGTGTGACAACATAAGAGAGAAGGGTCCCTGCTCTTGTGGTCACAAGAGATGCAACTAAATACTAGTTGTTAATTCTAAGTGAATTGACGGCGTAACATCATTAGAAAATTAGTGTACTGTCTGCTTAATATCTGCAAACTAGGGATGGGAAGATTAACCGATATGTATCGATACGCGGTCATGCGCGTGCACGATGCGAGTGCATCGGTTGAGCAGCAGAGGATGAATGAAATTTTGGAAGCAAATCGAGATGCATCGGTTTTTGCGAGATGCATCGATTTTTCCGAGATACAGCTTATATTTTTTATATAGAATGTATTTTTTATTTATTAACAAGAGTTGTCAACCTGTTTTTGGCGCATAATTTAATCGACCTACATAAAGTAAGCCTTAGCAACGGATTTGCGGATGTGCACACTTTCACTACAACTCAGTGTATCAGGTGTGCGGATGAAGCTAGTGGAGCGCCCTCAGAAAGCGCGAGAAGCAAAACAAACATTTTATTCCCCACTGAGTTTTAAATCTAAAGTATGGCAAGCAACATTATGGATTTAAGGATGGACGACATGACAGGACAGATGCAATTTGCAAAATGTGCCGCGCATCTGTAAAATACGCGGGCAGTACGACTAATCTGATATCTCACTTGAAGCGGCGCCACGGTGTTGTTGTGAAAGCATCTTCCAGTGTTTCTGCATCCCCGGCTTTCGCACTGCTTCAACTGTAGCTACCAGCTCCAAAAGTGGTGAGAAAAGCATTGCAAGTTTTTTTTCCATGCGCAACAGTTCTGCTCGCTCTACGCCAATAACGAATGCTATTGCATTGTTAATCTGCAAAGATATTCAGCCTAGTGTCACGGAGAACGAAGGTTTTAAACACCTCCTCCTGTTAATTTTTATTTAATAATAATAATAATAATATTAATAATGATAATGATAAAAATAATTGGGTGTCACGGTGGCACAGTGGGTAGTTTGACCACCTCACAGCAAGAAGATTGCTGGTTTGTTATATTTTTATTAGCCTGTTGTTTACAGTGACAGTGATGTTTCAAAGCAGCATAACACTGCTAGTTCACAACCTTAAGTTTTGAATAATCAGTGGCAAAATATATCTTTGTAAAACTTGTTTTCATAGTTGAAAAGTTAAATCACAATTCTTGTTGTGCAATGCTAAATTTATTTATGTTGAAAGAGTGCAAATATATACATTTATAATATATATTGCACTTATACATTCTGTTTATCTTGAAAATACTTAAATAATATGTGCTATATTATCTAAAATGGCCCTCTACTGTAAACTGACACTCTGGCTCTGAGAGAAGAGCCAGTTTGTAAAAAAAAGTCTTGGTTTTGCTTGGTTTATAAATAATCAAACTCATTCAATGGCACAGCATCCTCTTTCACATCATCTCATAAACTTGATCTAATAAGTTAGTGCTGAAATATCGCATCGTATCGTGATATGGGTGTGAATCGTATCGTGTTGCATCGCAATATGTCACAAATGTATCGCTAATATATCGGATCGTATTCTTTGTATCGAGATGCGTATCGGATCGGCATTATAGCTTAGATGCCCAACCCTACTGCAAACACTTTAGTTTTGTGGTCTCCAAACGACATTTTGATTACTAGAAGTCATTTTTCAAGTACATATTATATTCTAACCCTACACTTTAAAAATGCTGGGTTGCTCATTGCTGGTTAAATATGGACAAACCCAAATGTTTGACCCATCATTGGTTAATACAGTCCAGCATTTTATTCTGAAGTGTGATGTAAATGTTTACTAATACCCTACTAATCTCTGTTGACATGTTCTCACTTTCATAATCAACAGAATGCCTAAAGGATACCGTCAAAACAAAAGTGTAACACCATAAAATGTCCCCACATCAGTAGGAAAGTACTGAAACACAAGCGTCATTGAGTTCCCAAAACAATAATGCTTACACCAAACATTTCACGGATCAATGGCAGAGGTTGTTTTAGCCTCAAGCAACAGTTGATCCAGTAGTGAACCAAGACCAAATATATAAAAAAACAAAACAAAGTGGACAAGGTGTGGTTAAAACCTGACTTCTCAGAATTTGATGATGGTAGTCTTAAGTCACGGCTCTATAAAAGGTAATTATTGGCAGAGGACAGCCTTGTTCTTGGGAAGTGTAGGTGCTTGTAGGAGGTTTGTGACTTAGTGTAGCAACAAATACTGTAGGTGCAGCTTTGGCTCATCAGGTTTCTGTATTAGAAGCGAGCAGACTATTCCAGCGACACAGCCATGCCCTTACGACCAAGGGCGTCTTCTCAACCTGGAAGAGCAAACACTCTTCCGAGCTTCAAACCCTTCCCAATCCTGCGGCCAAGAGCTTCGTCTTCTCACACCAAATCGCCATTGGAGGATGAGCTGTCTTGTCCGATTTGCTGTGAGATTTTTACTGACCCTGTTGTCCTGAAGTGCAGCCACAGTTTCTGTCGCCTTTGCCTTCACCTCTTCTGGAACAAGAAATCACCTAAGAGGGAATGTCCGGTGTGCAGAAGGAAGTGTATGCCGTCTGAGCCCACTGTGAGTTTGGCTCTAAAGAATGTGTGCGATGCCGTCTTACAGGAGCAAAAAGTATCTGTTGGAGTGCCAAGCATAGGTTCATCCAACGGGACGTCCAAACCAGAGGCACTTTGTGCCACTCACGGGGAGGGACTCAAGTTGTTCTGCCAATCTGATGAAGAGGTTCTCTGCTGTGTTTGTCAGACATCCAAGAAACACCAAGGCCACAGTGTGTGTCCTTTGGAAGAGGCGGCAAACGATCTCAAGGTGAGAGTATTTTCTAATTTTTCAAAATACATATTTGTTATATTTTGTTTTAACTTCTGATCAAAATATAAAGGGAAAAGTACAACTTTATTCTGAACCATTTAAACATAAGAAATCAAACAAATGATTAAAATGGTGGAAAAGATAAATAAAAAGCTCAAATAATAATCCCAGGGCCGTTTATATCGAAGTTGATATTTAGTCGCACCATGTTGTTGTTTCGTAACATCTAACTTTTTTGAGGTGGGTCATTAGCCCAACGCTCAACCCCCAACCTGGAGGACCAAGACATACACATGTGTCACCATGGTAAACTCAGCGTAACCAATTTACCTATAGTGCATGTCTTTGGACTTGTGGGGGAAAACGGAGCACCCGGAGGAAACTTATTCCCAGTGATGGTTGCATTTAGGGGTGTGGTTGGGTGCCACGCCTCATTTTTAAAATCTTACATTTGTGTACGACTGAACTCCTCATCCTCCCCGTTTCCTTGTGTGATCAGGCTGGAACATTACAATAGACAACAAAAATGGTTTGACAGTTCAAGCACTCAAAATGTTACATGGTCCACCTGGTTACAAATCAAATAATTAACAATATAGGTCAGCTTATCCAGAGCAAAGTTGCTAGTCATTTTTTTTTATCCATTGGCTACAAGACAATAACGTGCTAGGCTTGTATTAAGCTAAACTCTATTAGCTTGTCCTTCACCTCCAGATTTACAGTAATATAGGGTACCCAGTTCTACATTACATTTTGTACAACTGTCAGGAATATTTTGATTAAATCTATGCTGTTTATCTGTAATGTAAGTTTGTACATGCCAGTTACACTCATTGGCCACTTTATTATATACACCTTTCTATTGCTAGGTTGGACCCACTTTTGCGTTTAGAACTGCCTTAATCTCTTGTGGCATAGATTTAACAAGATACTGGAAATATTCCTGAGATTTTGGCCAATATTGGCATGATAGCATCACGCAGTTGCTGCAGATATGTCGGCTACAAATCCATAATACAAATCTCATTACACCACATCCCAAAGGTGCTTTATTGGATTGAACTCTTGTGACTGTGGAGGCCATTTGAGTACAGGGAACTCATTATCATGTTCAAAAAACCAGTCTCAGATGATTCGCGCTTTATAACATGGCGCGTTATCCAGCTGAAAGTAGCCACCAGAAGATGGATACACTGTGGTTATAACATTGAAAACGTCACAGCAGAAATCGAGACTCATCAGACTAGGCAACATTTTTTCAATCATCTATTTTCCAAGTTTGGAGAGCTTGTGTAAATTGTAGCCTCAGTTTCCTGTTCTTAGCTGACAGGTGCGGCACCCGGTCTGGTTTTATGCTGCTGTAGTCCATCTGCCTCAAGGTTGGACGTGTTGTGCATTCAGAGATGCTCTTCTGCATACTTCAGTTGTAACAAGTTGTAATTTGAGTTACCGTTGCCTTTCCATCAGCTCGAACCAGTCTGCCCATTCTTCTCTAACCTTTGCCATCAAGGCATTTACGCCCACAGAACTGCCGCTGACTGGATAATTCTTTGTCAGACCATTCTCTGTAAACCCTAGAGATGGTTGGCCGTGAAAATCCCAGCAGTTTTTATTAACAAGTTATTCAATCAATACTGATGTAGTTTTTCTATTATGTTAATAGGAATATGTACTTTTTTGCCATTTGTTTTTCAGGAGGAAATGCGGCAGATTGTAATTCCACTGAAGAAAAGTCTAAGACGCCTGTATGAGGCCAAACAAGAATGTGATGACATAACTGTCCACATAAAGGTATCAACAAACTTTCAGACTTACAAACATCATATGATTCACTAACCGTCAACAGATACCTGCATTGCCTTTTTCTTGTTGGTTTCACGTAGAACCAAAGGCAACAGACAGAGAAACAAATTCACGAGGAGTTTGAAGAGCTACGACAGTTTCTTCTAAAGGAGGAATCTGCAAGAATTGCTCTTCTGGCAGAAGAAGAAGAGACAAAGAAACAGGCCATTAAGAAAACAACAGACTCAATCACTTATGATATAAGCACATTTTCTCAAGCTGTTGTGGCCATAGAAAATGAGATTGCTAATGATGACAGCCTCTTTTTACAGGTAACCTGATGCATTTGTATTGCTAACAAATCTTATCACTTATGTATAATTATTAACAAGTAACTGATCCTGCTTTCCCTACAGAACTACAAGAATGTCAAAACAAGGTAATGGTACACTATACATTGTACAGTATTTAATTGATTTATTTGCTCATTTATTTACTAATCTCAATGCCATTACAGAGCTCAGATAACATTCCACGAACCAGAAAAAGTCCCCAATTCTCTAATCAGCGTTGCGGAGCACATCTCCTCCCTGAAGTTCAGAGTGTGGGAAAAAATGCAGAATCTGGTGGAATGCAGTGAGTGCTCAGTTACTGAGTTTAATGATGTTGTGTGTCAGAATAGCACAATAGGTTACCTTTAAATTTGTGAGTTGGAACATCGCACATTGATAATTTGTAATGGCAAGAAGAGAAAATTACTCAACTGCAGTTGGTTTGTTCAACCATTGTAGTAAAAACATTTTGTAAACATACTTCATATTGACTGAATCCATTGAAATTTTTTTGGGTCACTTAAAGACATTAAACCCATTTAGCATATACACGTATGAGTCAAAACATTTTGACCACATGAGTAATATGCTGTTGGTCGTCAATGTGTTGTACAAACAGCACCAGGCAACAGAGGCATGGACTCTACAAGACTGCTTATGGCAGGGGTGCCCAAACTCGGTCCTGGAGGGCCGGTGTTCTGCAAAGTTTAGTTCCAACCCCAAGTAGACACACCTGAACTTGTTAATTAAGCTGTTTCTAAGTATAATAGAAACTTCCAGGCAGTGTGTTGAAGGAAGTTGGAGCTAAACTATGCAGGACACTGGCCCTTCAGGACCGAGTTTGGGCACCCCTGGCTTACAGTATGGCATCTCATGGTGTTCAAAACCAAGATGTTAGCAGCAGCTCCTTTAAAGCTCTGCTCACACTGTGTGCTTTCAGTCACAATTTCGTCATCTGAGACAACTTTGGAATATCCTAAAAGGTTCCAGTAATCCTAGGCTAAAATATGTGGTCTTTTATTGTTGGTTTGACATCGTTGGTTGGTTTACCAAAAGCTGCCTAATGGCCTTTGTAATCCAATTTTCTGAAGTTCTGTAGGTCTGCTCTAGTGTGACTTCAGCTACTATTAGCATCACATCAAGAACCGATTGGATCGCTGAATCCAATGACGTAATTAGCGCAACAACTCAGAACAGTTTTCTTCTGGTTTTATTATTGAGGCACACAGTGAGCAAATGTGCAGCTTTGTTTATGTTTGCCGTGAGATATCATGCCAAAACATGGGCCAGTGAAAGTGTTATGGATGGATGATGTCAAACTCTGGCTGAACTTTCTTTTATGTCTGTGTTTGGTGCATCCTGATTGTTGCTGGTTCTGACATTATGACAACTGGGGTCTTTTAGTGTGAGATGGAGATCATGTTTGTGCAGTCTGACATGCTACAATTAATAAAGATTATTAAAATTCAATAAGTGTGAAACAGGCTTGTTGAGGTAAGTCCAGAATTTTGAGGTAAATCTATTGTGGATCAACTTGTTGGTCCAGCAAATCTCACAGATACTCAGTTGATTGACATATTTAGAAGTTGGAGGCCAGAACAACAATTTGAACTCTTCATCATGCCCTTCAAACCCATTTATACCAGGGAACTTGTGAACTGAACTGGGGTATCTAGTCTGCAGCAGAGCTTAGGTGTAGATAACAAGTGTCAAATTTATGTCTACATGAATGTCTGGATCCTATCATCTACTTCAGGGGTCTTAAACTCAATTCCTGTAGGGCCACAGCTCTGCACAGTTTTGCTTCATTCCTAATCAAACACAGCTGATCCAACTAATCAATGTGTTCAAGACTACTAGACTATTAGATCACGTGTGTTTTATTAGGCTTAGAGCAAAACTGTGCAGAGCTGGAGCCCTCCAGGAATTAGGTTTGAGACCTATCATCAACATGAATGATGGTTAAGAGCGTTTCATTGCCGAAAATTACATTCCTTTTAATTAGTTTGCCATCGTCACACAGTGCATCTTGGTGCCATAATCTACTTAGGGAAATTATTATATGCACACTTGTATATGGGCATTTATGAGATATTAAAGGATGGGCTACTTACAAAGTTACAAGGCAATGTTCTTCCAAGGTTTATGGTAATTTTAATTCCGGTTTGTACTTTCCTTCTTCTGACCACTGTTGGAACATTCTCACCACTGTTGGGTTGCTGTTTTAGAGACAACCTGACCAGGCCATAAAAATGTGATCTATATTGATATATGATATTTAATCTACCCAGACCAAGGATGGAATGTGAGATTGACAGGGGGATTGGTGCAGCGACAGCAGTAATATGGTCGATATACCAGTCTGTTGTTGCAAAGAAGGAGCTGAGCCGAAGAGCAAAGCTCTCGATTTACTGGTCAATCTACATTCCTACTCTTACCTATGGTCATGAGCTTTGGGTCATAACCGAAAGGACAAGATCTTAGATACAAGTGGCCAAAATGAGTTTTCTTTGCAGGGTGGCAGGACGCACCTTTTATATATAAGGTGAGGAGCTCTGTCACCCGGGAGGAGCTCGTAGTAGACACGCTGCTCCTCCACATCGAGATAAGTCAGCTGAGGTGGCTCAGGCATCTGTTTTGAATGTCTGGGATGCCTACCTAGGGAGTGTTCTAGGCATGTCTTACTGGGAGGAGGCCTCGGGGAAGACCCAGAACACACTGGAGGGACTATGTCTCTCGGCTGGTCTGGAAACGCCTTGGGATTCCCCCGGAGGAGCTGGAGGAAGTGTTTGGGGAGAGGGAAGTCTGGGGTTCTCTGCTAAGACTGCTGCCCCCACGATCCTGCCCTGGAAAAGCAGATGAAAATGAGATGAGATGAATCTACCCAGACATTTATATTTGGCCATGTTGGGGCTCGGACACATCAAGTCGACGGTTGGTCATCAGTCTCTTGGTCAGCGTCAGTCAGACTAGTTGGTTTGGTGTGTTCCACATGTCGCATCGAGTTTATGTCGGAGCTCATGGGCCCGATTCAGTATGTTGAATCGGCATTAGCCGTCGACTGAAGAGAGCGCTCAGACCCTTTATTAAGTAATTAATCAAGAGGGTAAGTGTGATGTAGTGAAGTGATATCGCAAGTTCACAATCCAAGCCAAGGAGGAACACAAAAAAAACCCAATATGGATTCCGGTTTTGTGATTCTGAATGAGAAAAGAGATGTGGAAAGACATGTACTCTTGCACAGGTTGGCTGCCGTCTGTTTGGTGTGTTCAGGGGCAGTTTTTTGGTCCAGACAGATCCAGACGTGAGCTAGCAAAGGGTGACAACATAGTTGGGTTTCGTGGGTACTATTTGTTTGGTGCTGGCTTAGTGGGTCGTTAGGTGATGATCAACAATATTCATCTGTAAGTGGTCATTATGTTTTGACCCATCAATGTGTATGAATTCTGAACTTCTTTCCATTGTGATTCACACTGTATGGAGCCTCTAAAAGGCATAAAGTAAAAACAACTTGCTTCAAACCCTTGCACTTGCTTAAAACCCACCAAATTTAACTGAAAAATATGTTTCTGATAAAATGCTCCATTTGCAATTAGTCAAACAACTATATATGCCCATTCCAAATGTTGCACCATATTACATAGACGCAGATCCTCAAAAAAGCAAATTTTGCCATGTATTTTGAAACTTTTGAATATTTTAATTACTTTTAAAACAACAACAATAATAATAAATGTAACACTCTATAAGAAAGTTTCATTTGTTTGTCTGCTTTCAACACAGCCTACCCCTGTTTGTCTCTCAGCAAGGACCTGACAAGTGTGTCCAACACAGGGACAATGCAAAAGTTGCCAGATAACCCTGAGCGCTTTGACCATCTTGTATTTGTACTGGGCTCCAAGGGTTTCTCCTCTGGATGTCATTCCTGGGAGGTGGAGGTGGGCAAAAATAATGACTGGGTAATCGGTGTGGTGAAAGCATCGGTAGCAAGAAAAGGCAAGATATCAGGCTGTCCAGAAGGAGGATTCTGGACTATCGCTCTCTCAGATGGGCAGTACACAGCCATGACCACTCCACGAACACAGCTCAAGCTGAATAGCCATCTAGAAAGGGTTCGGGTAAAGATTGACTATGATGCTGGAGAGGTCAGCTTCTTTGACTCAGTTGATGTTGCACCTCTCTACACATTTACTGACCATTTTACTGAGATGATGTTCCCATTTTTCTGTCCGGGAGCGAATATAAATAGAAACAATCCAGGGCCATTGAAGATCTGCCCAGTGAGAGTGGCTGTGTGGAACAGTGGCTCCTGGTGATAGTTAGCTGTATGCTGGCTTTATTTTTTCATATAATACCGTACCAGTCAAAGGTTTAAAGAAATTTATTGTAATGCTATTTAGACTGCAGAATCAAGGTCAACTCCCTGACCTTGACCTAGACAGCAAAATAAAACGTGTTGCCTTTTATTTTGACAATCCTATTAGACATTCTGTTGATTGTTTAATGGCCTGTTTCCACAGAACAATATGGTTGGGTTTGGTACAGTATGGTACATATTTATTTTCAGTTTTGCTCAAAGGTACCAAAATAGCAAACTATACAACTTTCTTGGCACTCTATCCTAGATGCGCTACTGAATGCTATTTGCTAAAGAGAATCGTCACAACAGCATGCAACAGGCCAGGAGAATGACAACACAGGAGAGCTCATCCAAACTCGTTGTTTTGTGACATACAGCCATGAGAATGACGTAAAACTAAACTTTCTGGCATATACAATTCTTAACAAGGGCACTGTTGACGTTAGAAATGCAAGCCTGATCAGACTGAGTCGTACTGAATGTTTCTGTACCTTTGCTGTACTGTTTTGGACCATACGGCTCAGCAGAAAAGACGCATAAGTAACTTTGCTACTTTTTCAGCTAGGGGGGTTTCACGATTGGACATGTTTGCTGTGGTCTAAATCTAAAGGCTCGTACACACTAGAACACTTTTCACTCATGTTTATCGTCAGCGTTTTTCAAGTCGTTTTTTCTGCATTCAAATACAGGCGATTTTCATCCGTGTTTAGCAGAGTGAACGTGCTTCATGATCACCCCCTGCTGTTAGATGCTTAAAAAACTTGCAAGTCATGAAAGAACCGTGAAATTAAACTCACCTACCATCAAGTCCTATTTGCTTCTCTCCACTCCTACTGACATTCATGTAGTAGATGGTGTAGTTGTGTTCACCTCGACTGTTTTGCTCTTGAGTTCCTACAAGTGGTGTTTACCGTAACTTTAGCAGCTCCAGGCACGTGAACAGCAGCTGGAAGGGCATCCGCTGCCTAAAACATGTGCTAGACAAGTTGGTGGTCATTCCTCTGTGGCGAACCCTGATTAATAAAGAGACTAAGCTGAAAATACAATGAATAAATGAGTGAATGATTGGTGGAGAAGAAAAAAAAACTAGCATTAGGCGCTTCTTTAAAAATGATTTTTTTACGTCTGGTGTTTTGTGTGTTGGTGTGCACGATCACATTGGCTCCCTTTGTTTAGTCACGAGCCATTAAACTTCGACAAAAAACATAAGCATAAAGCATTCCGATGTGAACGGTTCTTAAGAGTGTGTCCATTAAAGTGCTTTTCCAACTGTCTGAGCTAACACATGTTTAGCACCTTGGCCGCTGGTGTTTAAAAATATGTGGCACTTACACTGATAGCAGTTGGAAAAAAGCACTTGGCTGTGAAAAAATGCTTAAATGATTTAATCCTGTTCTGTGCATCTGTTCCTGGTGCCTCCACAGTTTTGGATGCATTCTGGGACACTTGTATTATACATTTTGGCGAATTTAAGCAGTATATAATCAGTGTATTCTCATCAGAGTGGTCTGATAATAACTACAGATTGAAATGATTTTTTCTGATGTAATATTATATTCCTAAAACTTTTTATTCTCTATGTGTTCTCTTAAAAATAAATATTTTCTATAGTTCTTAAAATGTATGGTTCTTTATTAGGTGCTTTTTCACAGGAGGAACATTTCCGTAGTTTAAATAACAATTAGCGGAAGTGTCAACTTTTTTGTCTTTTTTAATGGCAGGAACTATGTATGATTTTAGATCTAGGAACACATTTTGAGAGGTCTAAATTAATTCCTATTCAAAGTTGAGTCTGTCATTAGGACATAGAATCATGTAAACAGTTTACATATTAGTAATAGAAAGGCAGATGGAGTGTGATGGAGTGATGCTGAAGTCTAGGCACTTTTTTACTCCACTTTTAGATGTTTTTGAAAGCTGTGATGAAATTCTGCTACTGATGCACATCATATGTTATTACAGACTTCCTACTGGCAGTGTGAATGTCAACAGGACATTTAGTAGAATTTAGTTCTCTAACTTCATTTTTAAAAATTTTTAACCTAGTTTATTATCCTTTATTAAGAGATTACTTGTTGATACTTATTAAAATGACCTTGTATTTCTTTCTGCTCTTGTCTGAATTGCAATTTAGGCTTTAACTTTAGTATGCTGCAGCAATAAAGATTTGGTTATCTTATTAGAGTTTATTCATTGTCCAGTAGCTCTTTACCATTACTATCAGTGGCTGAGCAAAGTTAAGCACACATGCTATTTTTATAGCAGTTCTTAGCTCACATTGTTTACATTCATGGGACAAACCATATGTGCATTATGTATTTTTTTCTGAGAACTCTGTTATCAGAGATTTCACACAAGAACAGCTCTGTTTTCCACCCCTCAATAGTTATCTTTGAATTCAGTGAAAGTTCAGGCAAAAGATACAGTATCCCTCCTTTTTCTTTTATAGTTTTGTTGTACGTTAATGTCACATAGTTCTATAATTAAAATCTATTAAAACAAACCAGAACACAATTTTCGAATCAGATAAAATGCTGAAATCTCACCTGCGAAACGAAGTTCAGGCATATAAGCATGAACTTTAGACCTTCAGGTTTTGAAGCTGTCAAGATAAACTGTCAAGTGTGCCCAAACCTTTGATTGGCAGTGTATGCTGTGCAGTTTTATGAACATTTACTTCAGTTAAATGAAACAACATGTGAAAACAAAAAAGATTATTGATATTTATTTCATTTTTCACAATGTATACATACAATTCATATATATACCAAGTTATATACTAACATAAGCATTGATCAAAATGTAAAAAATAAGCGACTGTGTATATATAAAATCCATCTCTTGTTGTTTGCTTGAGTCCATGTTGAAGTAATGTTGTAAGAAATTGCATAAATCAATAAATGCTAAATATTTGAAATGTCATGGTGTGTTTTGCTGTGAGAATGACAAATTATTTTGCTCAAGAAGCTGGTTCCTTTTTGGTTTGTTTGCTTTATTTTATATATCATGAGACTGAGGTTATCGGTTATGACTGGTCATATTAGCGTATTTATTACAGGTAAAGTTTGCGTCACAATTGGCCTCTTGATGAACCTCCTTATGTAAGAATGTTTCCGATTGTTCTTCTGGTTTACCAGGGCATTGTTTTTCCAGTGTAGTCCATGTATCCACCTTGATCTTTCTCAGTTAGGCTGCCAATGACACGCAGCATGCCTTCCACACTTTCTCTGGTGTCGAGTGTTGCCTGGTGGACAAACAAGGATTTACATACAATTAAAATATTGTAATGTTGTTTAACAGAGACCATCATTGTGAGCTTTGTGCCTCATGTTCTGGGACTGCACTGTCACTATATAGTATTTACATTTGTAAGTGTCTTATGAATATTAATGTCACTATTATCGTTCCACAGTGTACAACTTTTTTTTTAAAAACTCCAGGTTTACCTCATAGCTTCCCATGTCTGTTCTCACCCATCCTGGGTGAATAGAAATGCAGAGGATCTCATCTGCCTTTAAATCTCTAGCAGTGTATACAGTCAGCATGTTAAGAGCCACCTGGAATAAAAACAGATGCATGACTTATGCCCTATTCACGCAAGGGGTTAGCGTCAACACTTCCCATTCACTTTGAATGGGTGGCGTCAGGTATTGCTGAACTGCATTGTGGATCTGTCGGTGCCATTTCAGTGCCATTGCTCGCTGCAGAAGTTGGGAATTTCTCAACTTTTTAGGCGAAAATGGACGCGTTAGCCAATCAGATCACTTTATGCAAATACACCAGCTTAGACAATAATCAATTGCGGACTAATTTCATTGGCTGACGCTGTATGATCGCGTCAGCCTCAACTTCAGTCACTCCCTCTGTCAAGCGTTGACACTGAAGCCTTTAAAGGCTGATTTATACTTCTGCGTCAAACACCGGCGTATGCTACGGCGCTGACGCATAGCCCTTCGCCGTGGCCATCGGCGTCACTAACGTGCACCTCTCAAAAATTGTAACAACACGTGGCAACGATGTGTAGCGCAAGCTCTGTGATTGGTCGGCTTGGTAGCGCTGACGAGTCTGGGCGGGACCGAGAGCCGCGCAAATGGCGCGAGCTGGACGCGAGCACAATGGAGCGATTGTTTACAAGTGTGGAGTCCCGTGAAGGAGCAACTGATGGAAAGTTTTGTTTTGTGTTTACCTCATAGTTAAAGTTGTTGCACGTCTGCCGGTTCGTGCCTCAAAATGAGCGAGTTTGAGCCACTTGTACATCCAGAAAGTGTTCAGGAAAAGCAAAACAGCAGAGAAGAAACTTGACACAGAGGAACATTAACACCTCACTGCCCACTAGCGTTTCGGAAGTGTTAATTCAGACCAACAGAGACAGCGCACAGAAGTATAAATGCACAGCTACGCGCATTGCATGTGCCATGGGTCACGCGGGTCACTTGACGCAGAAGTATAAACCAGGATTAAAATGGGCGTTAAAGTTTGTTCACAGGACAGCTTCTTATTTGCTTAAGATTTGTTGAGACAGTGTTTTAAACAGACTATAAACCAGTATAGAAAAGTTGATTTATTGTGTACCTTGCTGATACTGTATGGGAACAGTGGGAATGGCTCTTTCATTGATGGGATCATGTTTAAAGATGCTGCATCCGTGGAGATGTTTATCACAGCTGCTTTACCAGGTGACATCCCTGGTTTTCCACTGGCTTTAACTGCTGCTCGCAGATACGGCAGGTACTCCTGATAAAAACAGCAACAAGTTTAAGACAACAATCCAAAATAAGGTAATATTTTAGATCTCTTTTACTACCAAAAATTGCTTTACCCTAATGACAAATAAAGGTCCTATCACATTGGTGTTGAAGGTGTTGTGCATGTCCTCAACAGAACAAGTCAGCATGGTTTTTTGTGGCAAGATTGCAGCATTATTCACAAGTAGGTTCAAACCCTTCTCCCCCAGTAGTGAACCCACTTTCTTGGCAGATTCTTTGATACTGGCTGGATCAGCAACATCTAATATAATAATAAAAAATCAGTCTTATGTGATATTACTGAATCCTCTTGAAGGCTAAAACAAGTCAAATTCCCATTTACCAAGCTTTACAAGGGTGACAACATCTGGATTCTTTTTAGCTAGTTCTCGCAGTACCTAAATGATAAAAGATAATAGGAATAGTAAAATACACAATTCTTGAACTACCTTCAGTCTTAAGCTCTTGAAAACTCACCTCAGAATTTGGTCCATCAGTGTCACGACATGCAGCAAATATTTTTGAGCAATCGGCCTCCAGGAGTTGCTTGACCATTTCTAAACCCAAGCCTCGGTTGGCCCCTGTTACAAGAGCAGTACATGCTTCTAATGCTGCCATGTTCAAAGGTTATAAGTCTGGCTTTACTGTCTAACCTGCCACTCTATACAGCTTTTTATATTCAAAATGAATGCCACTCCCCATACTGCACTTACATTGTGTTTTCCAGCACCATGTGTGTAAAACGCAGGATCATAATGAGTAAACATGACATCGGTGGCTCAGCATATACTTATCAGTAATGATTTGAGTAATAAAACTGTTGGACGCTTGGATGCCTTATATTATTTAATGTCTCAGGAGTGAGTTTAGAGGTTAAAAGTATTGACTATAAAACACAGTTATAGAGAAAAATCTGAAAAGTATGCCAGTTAAACTGATGAGGTGATTAGTAGCTCCATTGTGACCTTGAACAAGGTATTTATCCATTGGTTGTTCAAGAGGAACATTGCTTGTAGTAAATTAATCATTCTTGGTACTTCAAATAAAACTATTTTTGGGGTTATAAGTTTATAGTCATATAAACTAACTTACAGATGTTACTACTTCAATGTGTTCCTTATGCCGCCATTCATACCGCGGCGACGGCGGTACTTGATGCGCCAGCAGCTTTTGACCGCTGGGTGGCAGTTTAACCACAGATATTCAGCTTTGCCTTTTCACAACACTAAACAGACTTTTCTGTGCGTACCTTATGTGATCAGATGTGTTCAATTAAAATATAATTTTGATTTAGTTTTCTTATAGTGATAAACATGATCTTACCAGGGCTTAAAGTATTCCGGCACCATGCCGGATCTCCGGCGTGCGGCCGTGAGAGAAAAAAAAATAGAGCTTGCACATGCGGTTTAGTTGGGGATGCTCAAAATAACTGATTAAGCAATAACCGAAAGGGTGCGTTTGTAACCGATGAATGGTATCAGTTAAACGATTAAAATATGCTTTATACATTTTTAAAGTTTGGCTGCATACGGGGCATCTGTTTAATGGTTTACTGACTGCCGCCAGTGTTTTACGCTCTGCTTATGCTTGCTCAGCGCGCTTTAAGTTTTGCCGTTGCGCGCTGTGTGCTCGAGTGGAAAAAGCGTGTTACCTCTGTTTCATTGTTCAGTCAAATGAAAGCACTGCAGGCTTTCTGTTGAGGTGACAGCGGGGTTTGGGTTGTCAATGTGAGTACGATAAACTTTTAAAGATTGAGGAGAGACTTGTGGTCGCTGTTTCAAGTTATCCAGTATTTATAGATCTTAAATATCACAATATTATTAAAATTACAATTATAACATCGACAGCAACTCGACTCGCGCACACCAGCTAATTCAGTCGTTTTCTAGTGACATACAAAAGAGGCTTATTTTTTTCTTGTCAACCATAAAAGGCAGCGCGGTACGTCGCGCGTTTTTGCAACGTAAAGCCGTGCGCTTTGTGATCGGCCCCTAAATGTACAACAAATATTTGTTAACTCTTGGGATGGTAACACATGCAAACACACGTTTCTACAGACAAATTTTGCCAAAGAAGCAAAATGAAAGAAGGATATTTCTCGTCACAGTTTCACACAGTGTTGACAATAACCAGCGCTGATGCAGATCACCTCTGTGCTGTATGGAGCCGCTTCATAAACTTAAAAAAAGCAGGCTGTTGATGATTTAGGGTGGGCTACAACCAACAAACCCCTTTTTTATTTATTTTTTTATTTTTTGAAAATTACAGTTATTAATAGTTCTTATATATATCAGCTTTTAAAATAGCCTACAATCTACGAATCAAACAAATCCAAAGATTTTCTTGATTTTGTATAATAATAACTCCGCACCAAACTAAGGCTTTCATTTTATAGCTTAAAACATGTATGCAAATGTATGCAATCTCATATGTAAGGGCTGTGACGGTCACCGTGACGACAATCACTCTAGAACACACATTTTCTGTTTTGTTGCCAAATAGCCTATACATTTATGAACATAACGTTAACTTAGACGTGATACAGCAAGTTCAAGTTCAGCCATGAACCTTGCTGGAAAACTTATATTACATCGCCAATCTGGAAACATTTTGGATTCGTGGCGAACGAGTAAGGCGAATCAATAATTAGGATGAAGCTATTTGTAGGGCTTGTTTAGAAAAATAAGTGTTAAATGGACAAACACGTCGAACCTCCATAGCCATCTGTGGTAATGTCACCCAGCCATGACATGCGGAGCCAGCTCCGGTGTCATCTACTGAACGCAAATGCCCAGCTAGTCAGCCAGGTATGGTAGAGAGGCCTTTTCAAAAATGGGCAAATACAAAAGAGAAACTGATAAATAGTAGACGTTGATGAGAAATGGAGCAGCATATTTGGTAGTTGAGAACGCGCCGATCCACAATGTAGAGCTGGTTTCCGAGAAATGCAGGCGGCGGAGCAAGATACTCTCTTTGCCACGGTTGCGAAAAAGTATCTGTATGGGCTACAGGCACACAGTCTCAGTGCTGCTGGAAACATTGTAATCTCAAATAAGTCTCCGCTTAAACCGAACAAAGTCAACATGTTAGTTTTTCTGGCAAATAATTTAAAATATGAATAGAAAAAAAGGCAGAGAGACGCAGTTTTTTTTTTCCAACATCTGACTTATGTTGTTACAAGCCTATAGGCTAATATTTTTGTTCTTCGTTACTATTTATATTATTATTGATTAGTATTTGAGAAGTTTCTAAAATGTAACGTTTACTGTTTCAAGCAGTTAAAGTTATTTAATATTTAACTAGCCTAGGCTGTATTGTGTTGTTTTATCAACGAAAGTTAAAAAACAAACATGTTCGTTTGTACGAATATTTAGCATAATACTTTGGTCTTTTTTTATTTCTTAATTTTACATGCAATGTAAATTAACTTAGGTAGGCTACTTGGGTACAGGGGCGTAATTTGTTGGTAGTATACCGAGGAATGTTTAGACAGTGAATATTGTTATCATTATTTAAAAAAATTATAAATAAATAAATTAAATAAAAAAATAAATAAAACACCTTACGGAAAGGATGCAATGAAGGAAAATCATGCTCTTAATCATTCTTCATAATCTGATTCGTACCCTATACATGCAATAAACTTATATTGCGCCAACAAGAACAAGCTCTAAAAGGTAAAGTCTAAAGCAAGAGGAGTTATTGATATGATATTAATGTTAGTTGTTAATATTAATGATCGTAAACACGACCTGCGTTGTATAATAAACGGCGTCATTGTGTCCTGTCTGCGATTTTTTTTCTCGTTGAAGAACAGAAAATTCATGTTGTCACCATCTTCCCAGCCAGGTTTTCATCCACAGTTTCCGCTTTTGTTTCTTCTCAAACAATAAAGTTTCGCTATAGCAGGCCCGGCGGCAGGATATCATAAGCAAGGGCGCAATCCCATTGCACTTGACGACTGAATTTGGTCCTTTCTTGTTCCTTTTATTTAGGCTATTTATTAATTCATTACTTTGCATTACCGATATAGTCCTACTTTTTATAGTAATAATAATATGCAGTTTTGCTATTACCGATTTTATTAATGAAGGCAACGATACCGTTTACATTAATGCAGAAAGATAATGTTAAGCACCAAACAAGTGGTTTAAATTATGTTAGTCACTTTATTTCTTTCCGTTTTATTTTAAACATTATAAATGTGTAAAGTTTTAGGTAAAGACGTCAAAATACGCCCACACATGCAAGCTAAACTAGATCATCTGAGTCATCACGCTTTATTACTCAACCAAAATCAGCGAGGAAAAAATAAATGTTTTAAATTAAATAATATTTAAATGTTACATTAAATAAAAAAAATAAATTTAAATGTTAAATGCCATTTAAAAATAGTTTCTAAAATTAATGTGTTACTTAGTTACATTTTTAGGCATTAGTGTAGCCAAACAGAAAGCCATGTCTACCTATATTATTCAGCCTGCAGCGCAAGAGGTGGATCCGCGGTAAATCCACACGCACTAAATAGCCTACCTTTTTCTTTTACAACACTGTAAACATAACTTCGCAGGTCGATCATCTTTAAACGCAAAAGACATTTTTAAGTGTCCTAAATTGACTGCTGCTGTAGAAGGGGATGTTTTTTTTACATAACTGTAAACGTGTGCTTTAGCTATGCCAAAATGAAAGCAAATATTTTGTTCTGCGTTTTGTCAATTGTATAGCTTAATAATAATAATTAAAATAATAATAATAATAATAATAATAATAATAATAATGGATATAATAAATTATAATATTATTTATAGTATAGACATTTTTACTAGGCTACTTTAATATTAATCCCTAACTCAAAAACTAATGTGAAAATGAATGGCAGCTGTGCTAAAATTAATGTAACGGGAAATTTCTCCTGCGTTTTTCCCCTTTATAGCTCAATAGTTTTATTCAAAGAATTAGTTAAGCAAAACATGAAATAAATTAAACTGCGTGTCTTTGTGATATCCACTAGTCCAGTTTTCTCCAGTGTGAGTTTAGAGTGCGCCTCCACCGCATGCGCATTTATGCCTGCACCAGATCAAAGCAGGTGTAAAGTCCAGCACAGAGCGCATTGTGCGTTCAACTAACAATACCCGCTCCACTGTCTCCAACACACAAATACTCAAACTCTTTATTTGTGGACTTACTTTTGATAATAGGCTACTATCATTACCTTTATCATGATTCTATTTTTATTTTTATTATTCAATTTTTTTATTTTATTTTCTTTATTATATGTTATATCCATAATTGTTTGCACTACTGCCCTTTTTGCACTGTCTTTGTACGCAGTGAAGCTGCACTGCTTTGGCAATACGAATGTACAGTTATTTGTCATGCCAATAAAGCACCTCAAATGTGAAAATAGCCTAGGCAACAAATAACAAATCGGAGTCTAAAAATAACAACTGCCATTTTCATTTTCATACGTGTGGGTTTTGACAATATGTGTTTAATTAAGCTATAAAGATTAGCCTATCAGATGAAATGCATAGTGAAATATGAAATAAATGTCAATTTTGCTGAATAATTAATTAATCTATATCTTTAATATTTTTAAAATCATCTCGCTTCGGCCCAGAGAAAGAGGCGCGCGGCACCAGCGGA